CCCGCCTTAGCGTGCCGCGCGCCGCCAGTGTCTGCGGGCCCCTCTCCTTGCGACCCGGCACCGCCCCCCCCCCCCCCCCCCCCCCGGCTCTCAGCTCTCCCGGCGGGAGCTGGGGAAGAAACGGTGCCATTGCGAGCTTTCTATTTTAAATATTTAATGATAGGTCCCAGGCGGGCAGAATCCATTTTCAGCGTTTATCACGTGTGGCGCGCAAACCACGGCTTTGGGCGATTGAGTGGCGCGGGATCTCGGAGCAGACGCTGCCGGGGGCGGACGGGGGACCTAGCTCACTCCCCGAGCCGCAGGGGCCCCGGGGACCGGAGGCTGACGCTACAGCGGGGGCGCGGTGGCTCCTCCTGCCTCCGTGCACGCACATTCACCAGACTTGCTCAAACTAACCCCCGGCAGCGCGCTGTAGGACTGATGATCAAATATTTGGTTTCCGAGATAACACGCCCCGATAGCGCTGTTCCTGAGCCGATTTCATTCTACGTGTGTAACTTGCTGCGAAAATCCGAACGGAGTCAAGACAGCAAACTCACGCCCACGGGCGCCCTGTCAACAGCGCCGGGATACCGAAGCCCCCCCGCTGGGGGCGTGGGGCGTGGGTGGAGGAGCGGGGAAGCGGGGATCAACCCCAAAGCTTCCAGCCCCAGATAAGGCCCGCGAGTTCCCGGGTCGCCATTGTCTGCCCTTAATAATAGCCAAAAAATCAAATAGTGCAACGAGTTTCAGCGAGCAAGGGGTGGGAGGTTTAGATGCCAAAACAACTTCAAGAAAGTTTAAATTATACTAAGCAGCCAGTTAGAAGGAGGCAGCTCCATATGTCCCGGTTTAGAACAATCTGCAGGATGTATGAGGTGGAAAAAAGCAAGGTGCAGATCCGTGAGGTTACGTATGTGCTTGTGTATCATCTGTTCCCACTGGAAGAAGACACCGTGAACTGGACAGACTTTACTGGGGGGCGGGGCAGGGCTGGGGCTTAGGAGTGGGGCCTGGGGTCTGATTTCTGATTTTTCATTGTCTGCACTTTTGTCTGTGTGATTTTTTAAATTTTTTTTACAATGTGTATTTATGACCTAAACCAGAAACTAAAGAAAAATTCCAAATTTATATATATATATATATACATATATATATGTAAATTAAAGCAGGGCTCTGTCGCCATACTGAAGCCGGTGGTTAGCCTGGGCCAGGCCCTTTCTCTGGTGAGGGATTTATGGTATCTTCTGTTCTGTTGGGTACCCATGACTCCCCGTGAATGCAGCAGGTACTGGTGACCTTCAGAGCCAGGCTGGGGTCATTAAAAAGGCATTTGTAAGCCCTGGGTTCTGCTAACCCAGTGCAGAAAAGCACCCTGCTTCTATGGACCAGCAGCGTGGTCAGGGCTTCTTCCCCCCACCCCAGAGCAGGAGGAGGTTGCTGACTGGGCGCCTCTGGGAACCTTGGGGCAGGGCTGTTCGCTCCCCCTGGGTGGTGGGAGCAAGCCAGGACTTGTTTGAGAAGGCCACAGCTGGGTGGTTCTCCTCTGCCTGTACACACACCTTTCAACCCGTTAGCCCCATTTCTTTCATCTTGAAAGGACAAAGACCGGCTTGTCTGAGCCTCTTAATCAGTCGGGCTGGCTTTGGGTTTTGTGGGACAGTCCTGACTTTCTCAGGTCTTGCTTTCTGGAACATCACTCCAAATTAGATGGCGCAGTGGCTTTTAACAGAGTGCGCTGACCTTGTTTTCTTTCCCTCGCTGTCCCTAAAACTCGAGGTCATTAGTTGGGTGAAGACCTGGCCTGCAGTTTGGCAAGACTCCTCCTCCAGATGCTCTAAGGGTGGCCTTTCATTTCTGCTCAGCAACAGCACAGGAGTAAACCGCCTGTCCCTTCCATTCTGTCGTGGGCTCCGGAATTTCTCCATAGGAGGGGCCTGGGGGTGGCAGTGGGGGTGGAGGGGAATGTGTAGGAGATTAATCTGGAAGCTAAATTTGCTGAGGAAGCACACTGATTTTCCTTGGACTGCAAATCATAATTGATCTGTAACATACAAAGTTTTCTAAAGGTGCATTTGGTCTCACACTTTATCCAATAATAAGAAAATGTCATTCGTCCATATCAGATCATTATTTGGTAACCCGCGCGGGGGGCGCGGGGGCAGCTTTGGGAGGCTGCTGACTTTCTCCATGCCCCCCTCCTCCCTCCACTGCATACCGCTGCTGTCCTGCCCTGCTTGGGGGACCTCTGACCAGATTCTGAAGGCTTTTGCAGACCTGGTGCGTTTATTCTTCCCTCTGTCTGCAGCCAAACTGGTTTTTGTTCCTCTAAGTCCTTCTCCTTGGAATTCAAGCTTTCTGCCAGGCTGAGTGGGATCTAAACTAGAGCGGGAGCTAGAGGAGAATGTGGGAGAAAACCAGATGCGGAGAATGAGGACTTCAGACCCCACCTTATGACAAAGACCAGCCTGTCCCACGAAGCCCCGTGTGATGCTAGCTGAGCTACAGCGGGGGACCCACATCTCATCGGCCGGGGCCCCTTGGGTTCAATGGCGAGATTTGTAAGCTGGTTTGGATGAACAAGCCCCCGACTCTTCTGTGTAGACTTAATTCTGGATTTCAAAACAGGCTGCCCTCTCTGAAATGGAACCCAGGCGATGTGAGTTCTGCAGACCGAATCCGCCAGAGCCCCCTACCATCCCCCCCCCCTAGAGAAATCCAGCAGTTCCTTTGGGATCTCCAAAAAGAAGTCGCCTGGCATTAGGGGGCGTGTGATGCATGTTCCTCTCTGGCCCAGGTTAGGAAAGAAGCAAATTTGTTTTACTCTTCGAAGCTAAATTAAAAAAATAAAAATAAAAACTTGGAAACCGGTCATTACTGGACTCAGTGTGTAAAAGTGGCTTTTGTTAATATAGCTGAAGAGTCAGGAGAAGGCTGTGTAGTTTTTGCTTTATACCATCTGGCTGTCCTTTTTGTTGACAAGTGTTTGGCATTAAGATCTCTCCTCTTGCCCCTTAAGAACAGGCCCTACCACTGTAGAGTATTAGAAAAAGATTCTGTTACAGTTTAAAAAAATTTCCTTCAGGGAGTGCTTCGGGAAAGGAGCATGGATTGCAGGCATTTGCAGCTGTAACCTGGCTTGTGTTAAAATTTGGAAGGGGCTCTTCCACATTCCAGCACTTGGAGCAACGGCCCTCACTTGTAAGCAGCCAGAGGTTAATATAGATGTCACACAGGCTTTTCCCCTTCTTGGTTGCTTGCTTGCTGCAGAGTGACTTCGCTATAGGAGTGCACCAACAGCTGTGTTTTTAGCAACCCTTTCCAAATCACTTCTTTTAAACCTCATTTTCCTGGTTCTTAAATCAAAGAGCTTCTCCCCCCCCCCATTCCCCTTTTCCCAAGGATATATGTGACCCAGATTTGAACTTTTTTGATCTTCTTTGTATTTCTCTTCTGGGATCAAGGCAGGGTTAAGGCCAAGCCCTGGATGCCAGCCTATGGGGCTATTTTTGGTTTTTATTCCAAGGGCTCTCATTTGGTTGTGGAGTGGCCCATCCAAGGTGTAAGGGAGGTGGCCCAGATAAAAATCGATTTGTAGGCAGTGAAGGGATGCTTCTCTGAATGCTCAGAGAGAAGAGAGGGCTTGCGAGCGGCGGTTCAGGGGGCCTTTGGTCGCGTAGTAGGGCTGTAACCTCTGCAAGATAAACACAGCTGGTGTCCGATCCCCTGACCGCCGGAATGCCTGCGATGTGAGCCAATATCACATGTCTGCTGAACTCAGAGGCAAGTGATGACTTCATTCCGGGGAGAGTCCCATCTAAGTTGATTGATCACCCCTATCGCTTTAATATCTTTTTTCCCTATTGGGTAAGGTCATATTTGGCCCCTTGCAAGAATCAGAGTGTCCTAACGCTCCCCCAGGCCCCACCCTCTGCAGCCTGCCCATCCATTTTGCCAGATGAATATTGAGAATGGAGAGCCCGAATGGCTGGCCATGTTAATTTTTTCGCAATCACTCTTCAGACCTAGCTGGGGGCTGTCGACACACTGTTTTTGGCAGGCTGCTGCAACGCTTCGCCTTAATGCACTCTGGCAGTGTCTCCGGGGTTAGGGTATAGGCAGGGATGTGTGGGACCTGTCATGTTATTGTCAGAAGGAATGCGAGGATTAGCCTTTAAAACGTGGTGGTGGGAGAGCGCGGCAGCTGTGTACACTTATTATAAAAGACTTAAGTCCCACTGGTAAAATCAATATATTGAATTGCATGACCCTCTGCTTTTAATTAGTTTAAATCAAATGCGCCACTGCCATTTTGCCTCCTCTCGCCTTCATGGGGTGAGGAAATACCAATATTTACATAGAAACTGTTAATTTGCGGTGAAAATGATAACACATTTAGCTTTACACACCCAGATTGCTCGGACTTGATGGATCCCAGAGCAGCGTGGCGTGGCGGGACGTCACCGGGGCGCGGGAGCAGGGGCGGCGGGTCCCCGGGAAGGCGGGTCCCCGGGCCCCCCCGATGCCGTGCGCAGGTGGGCACGTCCGTGGGCGAGGCGCCGGCCGAGGCTGGTCTTTGAAGAAACGCACCGATTCTTGCACTGCGCGCCAGAAACGTTGAGGTTCACCCACATCATCCACAACCTTACCTCTTAAGCGTGCTTACAAAATCCGTAAGCGGGCACTTGCCTTTTTGGTCGTTTTGAGTCCTCGCTCCCAGCGTGCTGGGTCTTTTGTACGGGGCAGCTCAAGGCACAGTACTTTATTTATTCCAGAGCTTCAGATGCTTTTCTTTCCAATTCCTGAAACAGTTTATAGAGGAAGGGGGGGGGCGTTCCTTCGCTGCAAACGATCCCATGTATGAGCACGGCTATTATGTGAACCGTTTGGTATTAGCTGTGTGTTCGGCTGCAATTGAATTCTGCGTTTTGCAGCAACTGGTATTTGACAAATAATATTTGACACAAATGTGACTTGGTATTTCTTAATATGGAACAGGTATTTTGTAGTTAACCTTCCCCGACGAGAGATTGCGCGAACCCGGCGTGGACCAACACGGGCGCTGTTGCTGTGGACTCTTCCCCTCTCCGAAGTGGAGTGTTTATGATTTGGGGGATACGAGGAGCGCATGGAGTTTGACACTTACGTGCAACTCCGAAAGGCGTGTGCGATGTGTCCTTTCAACGTTTGTGGTGGAAGGCATTGGTGGGAGCCGCGCAAAGCCTTTGCTGATCCGCGTGGAGTGGATTGAATTAATGACAACTCTGAGAGCCCCAGTTTTAGGGTAATTGCTTTATTGTTTTGCAGCCAGGGTGCTTATAATCCGGTTCCTGTACAAACATGTTTAACGTGTGTTAATGCATTTCCAAACCAGAGCCTCTCAGCACAACCCTGCTTTCCATTAATTGATGTCGGTAGCATGGTACAGTATTTCAAAGGGCTGGCCAAGTATGAACTGTGTTTCCAATTTCCTTCCTTTCCTGTGTTTGGAATGCCAATGTTAATTTGTTCCCATGCAGGAGAGGGGGCTGCCAACTGCGGCTTTCTCTAAAGGGCTTCACAGTGAAGGCTTCCAGCCCTCGCTGATGCTTGGGGCTGCCTGGCCAAGTTTCCTGACACTTTGCAGCTAATTCTGGGTGATATATGGCGTGGGGGTTGGGGGGCTTCACTGCCGTGTAACGGAAGTTCTCGGTGACAGCCGAGGGTGTGACTTGGCAACGGCGAATGGACCGGCATCCACAGAGATTCTCTTTCGACACAGCTTAAACCCGTGCGTCTGTTTCCAGTATGGATGCATATTAGCTGTGTGACCTTGAACAAGTTTCTTAACATCTCTGAGTTGGTCTCCTCATTTTATAAAGGTGGATAATACTCCCCTCCTTCCCAGATCCTCACGAAGACAAAAGCATATCACGCGTGCGTAGAGGCTGGCACAGTAAACGGTGGCTCTTGTTGTTCCTGTGGCGACCGCGTCACTACGCACTCTGCCGTATCAGTCCAAAAACCAGTTTTTAAAGATTTATTTTATTTATTTGAGAGAGTGAGAGAGACAGAGCGCACGAGCGGGAGGGCCAGAGGGAGAGGGAGAGAGAATCTCAAGCAGACTCCCCGCTGAGTGCAGGTGCATGGGGGGCTCATCTCAGGACCCTGAGATCATGGTCTGATCCGAAACCAAGAGTTGGACCCTTAACCGACTGAGTCACCCGGGTGCCCCCAAATACCAGTTTTTAAATCCTTATCTTAAAATACTGAGATTAAGCCTCCTATGTTATTTTAAAGATGTGGAGAAAATGGCCCCCAAAATGTGTGTGTGTGTGTGTGTGTGTGTTTGCACACACACGTTTCCTTCTTTCAGAGATCACTGAAATTTGAATGAGAACACCAAACTTACTTGAGGATAAATAGAGTATAATGCTGACTCTTTCTCTTGCTTTTAGCATCTATGGCTATTTAAAAATTTTATGACTAGGCAAACTGAAACTTGAGTGAGGGGTGTCTGGGAACGCTCTGTACCATCCTTGCAACTTTTCTCTAAGTCAAAAATCATTCCAAAATAAAAAGTTTTAATTTTAAAAAAAGCGCATGGCTGAAGTATTTCTTCCCACCCCTTCTGGAAGATGGTCAAAGTACAAATTGTCTTTTCCTTCAAGGGAGTGTCAAGCCCAAAGCATTCATTAACAGAACAGCACAGCCTCCCCACTCTTTATTGGAGCAGGTGCAAGGCTGCCCCCCACTCCCCCCAGCTGGGCTGAGGCCACAACGAAGCCCTGTGTGGATGCAGTGTGTTGAGAAGCCTCTGGAGACCCAGGGACGAAAGAGAATGTCTCCAGGGCCCCGAGACGAGGGGTGGGCTTAATCACTCAAGGCTTCCCGTAAATTCCCTTCAGCTCTTTCTGTACTGTTTGAAAAAATCTGACTTGGTGGGTATTAGGTTTCCCTGCGTCTTTGAGGTCACGTGTTATTCTTTCACATCTTTATCTCCCCAGAGTAGCTTTCAAGTTCCAATCTTTTGTTGTCTGGCTTAATTAAATTTGGCTGTGAATAAAAACTTGCACTGTTTCCAAAATCGAGGACTTGCATGTTTTTAAGCATCAGGGTTAGGCCTGTACTGTCTTGTAACGCCAGCCTCTCTCTTGCTTTTATGCAGTTTGGGAAAGAAAAAAATCTAAACCCGTAGCATGACAGTCACCTCAGACTGGTTCTATCACGGACCCAGTGCTCACCTGCCCGGCAATTGAACGTTGCCAACGGGGGCAAGCGAGTGATCCTGTGGTTTCAATGACTTGTGTTTGGCCTTTGATAAAGGGCTCCTTTCTTGACTGTTTTTTCAGACATTCTTACTATCCTGTTCTTGCGCTGCCTCGCCAAATTCTCACGGCACAGGGCTCGGGTATTGGCTACTCGTGAGCATGAATGAGTGGAAGGTGTTCTAATGCAGCATCTTCTAGATGCTTTTTGATTTCGCATCCCCGCCAGTAAATTTCTGGGTCCACACCCTAAATAGAAATAAATCCTACTGTTTTAGTACAGTTTTTTTTAACCTTATAAAAACGTAGACTAAAATACGCATTTAAGGAGGAGGCACTAAAGATAAAAACAATATAAAATTCTGATGTTCATTAATACACGTTTTAACTAGTTGATTATTAATTAATATAAAATGATGCTTTTCATGAAGAAGACACGTTTCATTTTGCTCTCACAAATTAGTTAATGTTATGTGATAGAATTTGATGTCTTTCAAAATCGTGGTTCAACGGTTGGGGATCAGCGAACTAAAGGTCTGGTACTACATTTTGATTATTTTCATCCTTCATTTGTCTATTTGGCATAAAGGAAGTTATCACGTGATAACAGAGACCCCACAGCCTTGGGGGGGTAAACTCCCCACAGAGGTTTGTTCTCTTGTATTAAGTCATGGCTCCGTGGTGGGTTGGTAGGGGGCTCTGCACTTTGATCAGGTGGGAGGGTGCTCAGGTCCCCTGGCTGATGGGGCTGACACCCCTCTCGAAGGTCACCAGTTACCGTGTCAGAGGGAAAGGCTCTGTGAATTGTGCCTGGGATTTTAAAATTTCCACCTGGAGGTGAATGCCCCTCTTCTGCTCACATTTCATTGGTCAGAGCTAGTCAGGTGGTCACACCAGACCGAAGGTGGGCGGGAAACTAAACCTGAGCTTGCAGAGGGGAGCACCAGAAGGAGCTGGGGAATTGCACCAGTGCCTGCCATACTATGGTAGGAAGGCCGTCTCCCGGGAGGAACGTGGAAATGGGACGAAGAGCTTGTTGGCTGCAACAAGATCCTCTCTTTTCAACCTCATCCACCAATTACGCAGAGATTTTGTCAGAGCTCGGCCACTATTTTCCAACTTCCCCCGATGTCCATCAGTCCTTGAAATCTACTTAATTATGATTGTAACATTTTCCCCATATCCCAGTGGATCCCTCTAGCCTCCCCCAAGTGCTTGCACCCCATTTTGGAGACCAGGGTTTCTAGAAGTTTTGCATCACTGAGGTATTCACATGGTTCAACGAGAATAACCACTTCTCTCTATTCCCACTTGTAAAATGACTCGCTTCTTTGGGACTTGTCTTTCAGCAAAAGCACGCTTCAGCCTTAGTCTGGTTCACTACCCAGAGAATTAATGAGGCTGCCTCTGGTCCTGGCTGGAGAGGTGCTTGTCCTGGCCGGCGTTAGTGTGGGTCGTGCAGGTGATTGCCCTGTCATGAAGTCTTGCCCTGAATGGGATTGCTGCCTTTTCTTCCTGGGCCTCAGAGGCAATTCGTAGTGCAGGCAGAATCTTGCATGGCTGAATCTAGAAACTGAATTCAGAGAGTCCTTCATTACCTAAATGCATCACTGAAATAAATCATAGTGATAAAGTGGGAAGGTTGAGATCTTTTTTTTTTTTTT